TTCCCTGACTATTCATACTAATTTCTTGTACAGCCCTCGCCCATTCGCACGCAGAATTTCATCCTATTTGTGTCTCTGTGTGTGTTTTAAACGCATCAAATGCTTGCGTGTGATTAGTTTGCATACAATTTGTTGGGCGGGGGCGGTGTGCGTGGGCGGCAGATGATGAGGCAATGGATGTGCCATGAAGACGAGATTGGATGAGCTTGTGGATGAGAGCGAAGCCTTGTTGACAAGTGGCTGGCAGGCAACGTCGTACCCGTGCTCGTGCTCGTGCTCGTACTCGTCCTTGTCCTCGTCCTCGTTCGCGTCGTTCTCGACATCATCGTCAGTGCTTAATTTCGCGGTTTCACGCTTAGAGCGCGTAATTCCATTCCTAACTACTTCAACAACTGACAACAACAATAGACAGCAGCAACAACAGCAACAACAAGTGAAATGAGCATTTGAATACTAAAGGAATTGATAATGCGGAACAATGAGAATTTTGGGCGGCTTTTGTTGTAATTGTGCTTGTAAGTGGGCGTGGCTATACGGTGTGATGCTCGCTGATGTGCAAGGTGTGTGTGTGTGTGTGTGTGTGTGTGCTTGATGTGTGTACGCCTTGTTAGCAGCACGTTAGTCGCTCAGTTAGTTAGTTAACGCTTACACATTAGGCTGATAGGCACACAGGCCAAAAGAGAGAGGGAGAGAGGGAGAGAGGGAGAGAGGGAGATAGCTCATGTAACTGCGTGGCAGGCAATCAGGAACAACTTTGCCAGAAACTCACGTGCCAACTGAACAACTGACAGATCTGACAATTGCCAACATCGCCAATGGCAACTGACGCAATTTTTGTGTCCAAAAATTGTGGCTAATGAGCATTTGAAATACGCACATTTGACTATACAGAGAGATGAAGAGGCAGATAACAAGCCAGCGAGAGAGAGGGAGAGCGCTAGAGCCCGCTGGCAGCTTGTTAACAAGCTGGCACCCGCAGCAAGCCGCTGGACATTCAGGAATTGCCATTGACTCTTGCTCTGCGTCTGTGTGCTGACAATTAGTCGCAGTTAATATGATTGCCACTTGCTGTCCAGCTGGGCCAACTCCATAAAACTGACACAATGCGCCACTAAAACGCAGGCTCTCTAATATTTAGTCACAGATTGAAATGCTCTAAAGGCGACTGGCAATGCACTGAGAGAAACTCTAGCATATTTATGAATTGAATTGAGCGAAATATCAATTAGCAGCCCTTTCGGAGACACAAACTATGCCCAGCTCTTATCACTCATGTTGCCAAGCAGCATATTTGGCATTCGTTCCACTTTTCAGCACTTTTTGCTAGGTTCATCTGCTGCTTTGTGGGCCATGCATCATAGTGTAGACCCATTTGTGCCATGCGGTTCTGCATAGCGCAAAATCTAATGTCAGCTTAGCGCGCAATTTGTTGCTGTTGACAGCTGTGAGAGATTGTTGCTGTTGCTGTTGCTGCCGCTGCTGCAATCGGGTTAAAGTACGAGGCAAATAAGGGCAGAGAACGTCAAGAACGGCTACGGCCCATTGCAGGCATTTGCCGTTTGCCATTGTCCTGTTTCTCAGCTTCTGTGCCAGGATGTTGCTGCTGCTGCTCCTGTTGTTGCTGCTGCTGCTGTGAGTGTCAGTCACAAATGCTAACGACATTTTGTTATTTACTTATTGCATTCATTTAGTCGAGCATACTCCAGCTTCAGCTTTAGCCTCAGCTCAGCCTGCTCTCACTTTCCTTTATGTGCGACTGACGCACTCTGGACCACATTTCCTCATTTGGCAAATGGGGTGGGGATGCAGGGGAATGGCAAGTAACTCTCATCTTGTGCTCATCTCTTTGCTATTTTTAATCTGCCGCCCTTTTGTATTGCACTTAACTTGGACTGCAGCCCAGTCTCTCTTTGCATCGAGTCGAGTGCATTGTAACCAGAATTTTGCTTGAACAATGGGCCTCAAATAATGGGGCAAATTGAATTTGAATTGGTTGACTGCTCGGCTGCTCGACTGCTCGGCTGCTCGACTGCTTGGCATTCTATGCACACAGCGCCTGCCTCTGTCTTCCTACCCGCTGCAGCTTGAGCTCAATAATGTGCTCATTGTCAAGGAATTCAGTGTGAAAACAATGCGCGAGTCGTAGGAGTTCTCAGCTGGCTGGGTGCCTGGCTCTATTGTGCGTGCTCTGTAAATATTATTCTTCTTAAAAAATGTAGAAGCAACCAGCTAGGATACAAGATACGAAAAATTAAAAAGAAAAGAAAGGTTATGACAAGCAAAGCATTTGTCGTCTAGTCTAACGCCAAGCCAAGGGAATCAAAGATAAATGGTCTGGGCCAACGCAGCACTGCTCAGAGCAACGAATGAGAAGAAACAGGCCATAACGACGAGCTGGCCATAAAAATCAATTGAAGTCGAGTTCAAAATCAGAAGCATATTCTTTTTTATTCCAGTTGCATTGTTGTTCTCGTCCTCGTCCTCGTCCTTGTTCTCGTTGTCGTTGCCGTTGTTCTGGGCCCAGTTCTTGTGGCAATTGACAAAGAAGCAATTATGTTGAGGTCCTGGCATACAAGAGCCTGGGAAATCAAGCGTATTTATAATGAAATTCAAACAAATTGTGATTACCAATTTGCCCTTTTCAACACTCAAATTAAATAACAGAAGTGCCCAGGTGAACAAGAGATATGTTATTGAGGAAATATAAGAATGAGAATCAGGCTGAGTTGCAACTTTGCTAGCAAACGAATGCCTTGAAAAGCTTTTTATATAAATTCAATTGAAGAAATAGCCGCAGAAACGGAAGTCTCTCAATTCTGGCTCTGATGATAATCTGCAAAGAGTTAGAGCTCTAAGCCAACCACATAATCTCGCATGTAGAGCACTAATCCAACTCTAGTTGCAACAGCCAGTTGCATGCTCGGCCAGACCGCAGTTGAGACCTTGACACACAGACATGGGTCTGGATTCATTGTTGCACTCGCTCGTTGGCCATGGCCGATTGAACAAAATGCTAAACCAATTGCTAATCCTTTTTTTCGGTAGTGCCACGTTCGCTACCTGCCGAGCAGCTGCTGCCACTGACTGGATTTTTTTCGGTTTTTTGTTTGTGCTCCGCATAGGGCGGACAAATCCACTGATCCACTTTGCGTACAGTAGCAGCCGCCTTTCTGTTTTGGCAAAATGTTTTTGTTGAGTGCCCATTGACTTTGGCCAGAGCGGTCAGATGCGTCTCATGCTCATGCAGGTTGCATGCACCACACAGCCCGCATTCACATTCATATTTATAATTTACCTGAGCCTTGCCGACGTTGACAATTTCCGCTTTCGGTTAGCTGTCTCCCACACACACACACACACACACACATATATATATATATTAATTTTCGAAACAAAAAAGACTCTGTATAGACATAGAGAAGAAGAGGGAGAAATGGTAAACTTGTGTCCAAGTGGAGTCCAATACGCATTTGTAGCGACCATAAGCGGATTATGCTTGCAGAGGAAATGGAAATGGAAACTCGCAATTTTTATGAATATGAAAAGCCGCTTTGGCCAGCAGAACTAACTAACTTCAAACAAAACATTACAAAACACAAAAAATTAGGAAAGCAGTCCAGGAATGTTATTAGAGCTCAGTCCAAAAGGCTTACCTACAAAGCAAATACCCTAACGGCCTTAGCGTTGATCTGATAGAAGAGATCATATGTGATACTTAATTTCAATATATATATATATATATATATATATATTGATTTCTAGCATGAACTTTCCAAGTTGTTTTCGTAGTCAATCGAGCTACAAATATTCAGCAATTCCCCCGAGATTAGATAGTGTATTGCGCAGCGTCTTCCATTGAATCTAATGCGCTCGCTGCTTCGTTAATTAGTTTTGGCTTCTGCAATTTGTCAGTAAGTCGTGTGGCTGTGTGGGCTGCTCGTGTCTTAAAGTCTTAGCCCGGGAGACTGACTTTAAGTTTTGGCGCTCATAAATATGCCATAAAACTATTTGGTTGCGCTGACTAGATAAAAGGGGGTTAGGCGGACAGCGAGTGTGGCAAACGGACAAAACAAACCAGGAAAACCAACCACCGGAGCGAAAGTTGGAGGAAGTGGAGCGCAAGGGGAATTGCGTAGACTTCTGAGACTACTGTGCGCCATAACAAAGTTAATAATAATAAAGCAGAGCGGGTAACTGGGGTGACGTCGGCTGAGCTGAACGGGGGCGGGGATCGCTGGCACGCCCCCAGACGAAGAGTCAGTGGATACAGTGCGTAGTGGTGCCAGCAAATACGATTACAATTTGTTACACTTACACAGCACAAAAACTGAAGCTGAAACGGCGGCCAACCCTCCGAGGTAGTGGCAACAATGCCAAAGAGTCGCCAGTTGTGGTTATACAAATCTGGAATCCGGAATCTGGGCTCATCAACCTGACCAGAGAAATGCCCAGAAAACGAGGGCATAAATCAGGCAGCGCGGCCTCCAATCGATTGGGTGAAAGGGAAAAGGGAAAGGGCAAGGGCCAGGGCGGAGGCTGGAAAGAAAGGGCAAGTGGTAAGGGGCCCAGGGGATGTTTTTCAGTCTAATCAAATTCAAAGCTAGGCAAAAGGGGCATGTGCAACTGCACGAGTCTCTAGGCACACTCTAACCGCTCGGCATCTATTTTTTTCTGTCTTAGACGATCAATTAATTTATCAAAGTCAGTCGGCAGACAAGGCCTTCGGGAATTAAACGACAATGACGATCCATTCATGAGTTATTAATAAACTAACGATCGTCTTGGGCTCGCCGTCCGGAAGCGGCTGCAGTTGCTCTCGACATATCCAAAATGCAGTTTGACTTTTATTAATTACAACTAGATTTTTTATTTATAACAACAAATTGTGCACATTTATCAAAGTGGCTCAGGACACATACATCGATGCATTAATGATTCAAGTTCTGATTATGTGCCCCGTCCGCCCACAGCTCTTAGAACTGCTCGCTGTATTTGAGCTTCTGCCAGCCGGCGCGCTGTCTCCGCATCTCTCTATAGCTATTGGGCAGTCCATAGAGAAAGTATATGGAGAGACCTAAAGCGATTGAAAATCGAACTGATTGGATTAGTTTAACATTAAAATACTCTTGGCAAACATCATGCACATGCTAAAGATACGACTTTACGATCTTAGTCTATGGTTCCTGATATACGCTTAGGTTTAATTGTTACATTCTTTGGAACGGCGGCACGAGTCCTCCTCTTAGTGTTTGGTTAATATCACAAGGTTTAATAAGCATAATCGAAACCATTTTCCGCTCTCACAAAACTTAACTCTAACCATGATATTCGTTGCTCGATGAAGGGTTTTATATTATTATAGCTCAGCCAGTTAATTGCTTTTTGGAATTGGCTCCTTCACGTTCAGTTCATGCATATTTCGAGTTCCATCCGCTGCAATTAATTGGCCCAGAGCCTAACTCGTCATTTGTAATTTCAAATTTTCGCAATCGCGCGATGTAAACCTAAGCACTTAGCATCTAGTATTGCCTCCATTGCACTAGGGCAACAGCTTCTCGCTGCTATAACAACATTTGATTACTACAGATTAGTAGATGGAGTGGGTGAGTGTGTCTGTGTGTGTGTGTGGGTGTGTGTGTGTGTGGGTGCAGCTACTCTTACAGTATGCTACAAAATCGAGAATTGGATTGCAATCCTCTCTGGCTTGGCTCATTCAATTGCCGCTTCCTCGACGTACAACGATTGCGGCCGACGGCGCATCACCGCATCCGCTCCCGGACGCTGCTGCAGTCGATGCGAGGGTCCCCGCTGTAATATGGCCTCCAATTTCGCTTTGAATGGCACCGGCTCTGACTCGGGTTCTGGCTCTGGCGTTGGCGCTGGCTCTGCGAGTCCGGATGTGGGCATGGGCGTTGACTGAACTAGAAGCTTGGTATTCTTGGCATCCACGACGAGTTCGCGACTCAAACTGGGTCGCTGTTTGTGCAAACTAATGCTGTTTATGGTCTTGTACAAAACCGGATCGAATTTCGGTGCGCGCGGTATGTGGCCAGCTCCAGGCGCTGTTGCTGCGGCAGCTGGCGCGTCAGCATTGTCGCTGGCTTTGGCATTGGCATTGGCATGGGCATTGGCATTAGCATGGGCATTACCGTTACTATTATTATCAGCTTCATCACTGTCCGTTTTCAGCTCTCGTATAGCATTCAGCAACAAGAGGCGGACATCGGTTTCACTTTTCGATTGCTTTAGCTGCGGCCTTATGGTATCCTCCTCGTCTGTCTCTTCCACATGCTGCGGCTCCTCGTTGCGTCTGGGCTTGAAGGCATTGGGATTCATTATGAGATGGCTCAGTCGATCCTTAAACTTTTCCGAATGCAATGGATCGTCCACAGCGGAGGCAATCGAAGCCTGCGAGATTATCGAGCTGATTGAGGGAACTCGCTTCAGCTGAACTCGCAGCTGAACTGGAGTTACGGGAGCTGCCACTTGCTGCTCTCTGCTTGCCTCTTGATTTTCCCTGGCCGCCTGTAGCTGCTCGTAGAAGGCGGAGCTATCGAATAACTCACGCAGCATATCGCTAGCCGCCTGCTTACATTCCTCAAGCCGGGGCCCCTCCACGGATCGCTGGCTGTGCACGTCGTCATCGTCGCTGCTGCTGCTGTGCACAGTAGCCACAATTGTGGTCTCGATTACACTGGGCAGCAGCTCGGAGTCAATGCTGAAGTTGCGCTCGAAGATGTGCTGTTCGTCCAGCTGCTGCTGCTGCGAGTCCTCGGCATCCAGCACATCGTCCAGCATGGCTATCACTGAGCGTTCGTCGTCAGTCTCCTTGGCACTCAAGGTGCTTCTCGAATGCACGCTCTTTGTGTCCTCGATGAAGAATATTTTGCCATTGGCATTTTTGTGCTCCTTTAAATCGTCGAACACCTCGCTTAGATTTTGTATTTCATCCAAGCTGCTTGAATTCCTTTTAATCTGCGTTTCGTTTGTGAGAGTGCTTTGCTTGGATGGATTGACGAACCCATTGCCATTGCCATTGCCATTGCCATTACACGCAGCTAGATGTTGTTCGGGGTAACATTTCTTTGGATCTTTGATGGTATAGAGATAGCAGCAGACTAAATATATATGTACACCTAAGGCATTACGGTTAGTGGAACATGCATTAGTCAAAGGCTACATTAACATGCAACAATTAATAGGGAGCTGAGCGAGCGACTCACCCACAATCATCCAGACACCGAAGCGTATCCAGGTCCAGCCATCCAGCTGCAGCATGAGATAAATATTAATGAAGATGCTAATCGCCGGCACCACGGGCACAAAGGGCACACGGAACAGGCGACCGCGCGCCTCACGTGGCTGCAAGCAGGTGAGCAGCAGCACTATGACAATCAACAGAGTGAGCAGGATAAGCAGCGTCAAGGCCCACGGCTTCTGCGACCTGATGGCGGGATAAGCCTGCATGAGCAGCACTCCAAGACCCGCGGAGAGCAGACCTGCCAAGTAGATAAAAGATTAGAATAAAGCCGTTGCTGCTCCCTGACACCACCTACAGAACAGCGCTGTCAGCACTCCCACAATTCGCGTGGAGTACCGATTGGGCTCCGGCACGCGATGCACGTTGAAGAGCTGCGTGCAGATCGAGCCCCAGGTGAAGCGCACGCTGTGCGTCGTCAGCGAACTCGCCTCGGAGACGGCTGGCGATAGCTGCTCATCGGCTTCGCAGTATTCCATGTAACGTAACGTGGTTATGGAGACAGCTACCACGCTGTAGGCCAGCAGAGTGCCAATAGACAGCAGGCTGACTAGCTGGGCCAGATCGAAGAGACCCGCGATGAGAGCTGTGAAGAGCGCAGCCACAATGGAGCCCGTCACTGGCACCTGGAAGCGTGGACTGATCTTGCCCAGAAATCGAAATAGAATGCCATCTTGAGCCATGGAATACATGACCCTGGGCAGTGGAAACAGCGCGCCAAATAAGCTGGCCAGCAGGCCAACCAGACCACCGATTGTAACAATCCACTTGGCCACCGGCCAGCCGATATACTCAAAGGCATAAGGCAGCGGGGCATTGACATCCTGCACATAGTAGGGCAGCATCAGAGTCAGCACAGTGGAGACGCCAAAGTAGCAGAGGAAGATGATGAGCAGCGAGAGCAGAATGGAGCGTGGTATGTTCTTGCTCGGATGACGCACCTCCTCGCCCGTGGTGGCAATGCAATCGAAGCCCACAAAGCCGAAAAAGCAAGTGGCGGCTCCTCGGAGTGTGCCCTCAAAGCCAAACGGAAAGAAACCGCCCTCGCCTATGCTGGTGGTATTAGCGACAGGCGTCGATGCGTCCACAGTCCAGTTGCTGAAGTCAGCTGCAAATACAGAGTCCAGATTAAATGACTAAGCAAGGCAGTCAGCCGTCAGACGCACCTTTAGTGGCGCCAGCTATGATGACAAAGCTCAGGATGAACAAATTCACGCACGTGACAAAGTTGTTGGCCAATGCAGAGGTCTCCACGCCGAAGGCCAAGGCAACTGCAAAGGGATAGGATGATTAGGAGAGTTCTCTCTCTTTAGGGGAGCCACTCACCGCCAAAGACCACGACCAAGCCGAAGGCAAGGAAATCAAAGTAGCTGCCCAGAAAGCTGACATTCATCGGCGCCACCTCGGCAAAGGTCTGCTTCAGCGTATCATTGAGCAGCGTGTCCAAATAGAGGCTGATGCCGCGACACACGCTCGCCGTGCCAACAACATACTCCAGTATCAGATTCCAGCCAATAACAAAGGCCGCAAACTCGCCAATGCACACATAGCTATAGACATAAGCGGAGCCCGCCTTTGGCACGCGTGCTCCGAATTCCGCATAGCAAATGCCTAGCATAGGATGGATTTGCTTACGTCAGTAGACGATTTGAAAGAGCTTTGTTGACTCACCTGCTAAAAGAGATGCAAGCGCTGCTATGGCAAAGGATATCATCACCGATGGTCCCGCCTGTTCCTTGGCTATCTGGCCAGCCAAGACATAAACGCCCGCGCCCAAAGTGGAGCCGACGCCCAGTGCCGTGAGATCCCATAGGCCCAGGATGCGATTTAGCTTGCTTTCGCCCTCGGTGCCATCGATTGCCAGATGTTTGCGACGCGTTAAGATCTTCCACGCCGAATATTGCTGAACCATTCTGGTATCTCTGCGAATGGAGGTTCATTAAACCATTGAACAAAATTTGCATCTATCTAAGTCTTGGCTTAGGGTTCAAGTCGTGCAGCCTTAACTGCCAAGATCAGCCCCATTAACTGCCGCATCTCGCATTGTCCCAGTCGCTTATCAATTCATTCTTTAATTATACAAATTATTGAGCTCAAATTGCAATCATCGAAACGCGTCGACTCGAATCACAGCTAGGCCTTTGTGCTGAGGCCCAGAGCTCAGCTTGGCTATACTATATGAGTTGGTCTGACGGAAGATTCCTTAAGTCTTGGACTTGCACTGAATTAAATATGATTCACAAGTAAATAGAACGAGTTTAGCTTGCTTCAGTTTTCCTCCTCCTGGCTGACGTTGGGTCTTTATGATATCAGAATGTCGTTTCTTGACATGTTCTACTCTTCTCTTTTTTTTGGCTTATCCAGTGACTCAGGTAGCTAACTGATAAGAACAGATGCTCAACTATTTGGCTCTAAGGCCACACTGCTGCGGTCTATTTACATTGGCGCTTCCTCTTCATATTGTTGCTTATAAAGATAATGATGTGGGTCTAGGTGAGCAGGCCTTATGTCGAATGAAGAGTTATATATATGGGTGTGTGTGTGTGTGATTTATATAATAATTGTATTTTAAGTATTTGCTAATTATCTAGTGCTTAATTAGTTGACTTACCAAGTCTTAAACAGACGCCGATGCTGTTGCTGCAAACTCTGTACAAATATTTGACTTATAGAGAGTGGAGCTCGTCGTATTCTCGAATGTATTCGAAAGGTATTCAAAGTTGATTCGAATTCGCGACAACACAACTGGCAGAGTCTGCGCTCTGAATGCGTCTGCCAAGCGGACGTCGAGTTACAGCCGCGAATTCGTATTGTTCTTTGAGATAAGAAGACGGCAAATAGAACGAGAGAGAGAGACTGCGCCGCGAGCATCAAATACTGATAAGAGATACAAAAGCGCCGCCAAGCGAGAGCAAACGAACGGTAAACAACATCTAAAACTACAAATGCTGCAGGTAACTCGTTGATAAACTGAGTCAGAGAGATAGAGAGAGGAGGCGACGGCGATAGCTGGCAAATTAGCAGGTATAAAAGATGCGGATGCTGTGACGTCTCTTAACGTTCCCGAATGTCTCTCAGCTGTTGCGGCAGGTGCAGCGCCCCACCCGCTGGCAGCCGACTGCAAAACTCATGTACGCGTATTGTTATTTATGTTTCGTTGTTTGAGATAAGATTGTTGTATATGTCGTATTGATTTGCTGCTTTATTTCCGATCTGATGAGTCGAGGCCTTAGCGCCTGTTGTTGTTGACGGCAGCTACTGACGCGCTCAGCGAATAGCGTTAACTGAAACAAGGTGATAATAAACAGTTGCCTATATCGCCCACTCCAGCAGCAACTTAAATATCAGTCAACAGAGAGAAATAGAGAGATAGAGAGAGAGAGAGAGAGAGCGCGCGAGAGAGTGAGAGTGAGCAGTCTCTTAAATATCACTTCAGCCTGGTCATAAATATTAGCTTCACTTTATTTTATGGGTCAGCTAAAAACGAGTTGAGCATTATTTATAGACTTGAGCATTAGCTCCCTTAATGCACTTCCAAAAATAGCTTAAGCTCTTCCATCTCTAGTTTTAATTATATCATATTTTAGCAATCTATATTGGACTCCCATTTGGAGTATGTTTCAGGCTCACAGATAAGATTTGTTAACCTGCCAAATGCAACCTTTCGACGCTCAAGTGTCAAGCTCACAATAAGTGATTTTAATTAATATTTATATATATATATAGATTGATATATATATATACCTATATATTGATATTGATATGACTGATAATAATGAGAAGCCGAGACAGCAGCCCGAATGTTCCATGCATAGATTTTATCGCAGATTTACGAAAACACAAATTGATGTGGCTCAAAGCTGATGCAACAATTTACTATGGCTACGCCCACCCACCGCCCGGTTTTGGCACTTATTATTGTTGTTTGTGAAACACTATTATTTCTCATATGTTTGATAAACGCTGCGCTATTAGCAACAATTAAATTATCTATAAAATGATTACGGGCATTATTAAAGCGAGGCGATCTACGCCCTGGCGTTTATAGCTATTCGTCACATGGGACTCCACACTGAGAGAAACGCACTACAAATTATCAACTAAAAAAATTAATATTTACTCAAATTTAAATACGTTATTTAATTGCATTTAATTATAGTTTAATTGGATGAGCAGAGTTTACTGCTTCTGCTGCTCTTCGCTCAGTGCACGCGTCACGTTAAGGCAGTCACAGTCAGAAGTGGCTAAACCATTCCGTATATATACACACTCAAACTCGGACTCATAATCGTAATCATAATCGTAATCGCAATCGAACAATACATTTGCGCTCGGCTGATAAGATACTCGGAATGCTCTTCACACTTTCACTCAAAGCACATGACTCGATCAAGGGGCAAGGGGCAAGGGGAGATTCTAAATCACGCAACTCACGTCGTAGATGGAGGCATTAAAATTTTATTGCCCCACGAAGCTACCTACTAAGTGAATTCCCATGCGCACAACAACGTCTTTGGGCTATTCAGGTGTTTCTGAGTGCTCTCCAAGAAAATGGCCGGAAATGCTTAGCACATCTGGCTGAGATTGCGAATTGCCAAATTGCAATTGTCGACAACAAATATGAAAAGTTCAATTTAAATCAACTATGCTGAACGAGTCTCTGAATAACAACAACAAGTAAAAGCCAGCAAAGGTAATCTGAATTCTTCTCTAATAAGAGCCAATTGTATGTGAGACTTTCGTGAAATCTTAATATTAGGATAAGCTACAGCTCTATGCGATTCTCAATATAAACTCAATATAAAATCCAGTAATAATAAAACCCAGTTGTATGCAGAAATTTCTTGAAATATCAATCTAAGAATGGGGTGGAAAGCATTGCCGTTCTATGCGATTCTCAGAGGAAACTAACTAATTGCAACCTAGCCAGACCTCGCCTATCCAACAACCTCAGTAGGCCTGTGCCTCGCTGCGTCTGACCTAGCCTCAAATCATTTGCAGCTGCTTCATTTGTAAATCCGCTTACAGAGCTTGTTCAAACATGACTGTCTCCTATACCGCACAGGTAGCTACCTGCCGTCGCTTCGGCTGCTTCTGGAAGCTGCTGGGCAAGTAAGTGACAAATAAATATCCGCACTCGGTTGCCTTGTAATATCTTTGGATAACAATTGCTTAGATGGCGCGCAAGCATTTACAAACTAATTTGGGCTGATCTGCTGGTGTTCCTGTTCGCCTTCTATGCCATGGCGTTCATGTATCGCTATGGCCTGACCGGCGACAGCAAACGGTATGAAAAACTCTGATTTGCTTTGCTTTCGACAACGCTTTTAATCCTGGCCCCTCCATTGTTCAGAATTTTTGAAGACATTGTGCATTATTGCCGCAGCTATGCAGCTCTAATACCGCTGTCCTTTGTGCTCGGCTTCTATGTGGCCATAATCGTGGAGCGCTGGTGGAATCAGTACATCACAGTGCCCTGGCCGGATCCATTAGCTGTCTATGTCAGCGCCTTGGTGCGTGGCCAGGACGAGCATGGTCGACTGATGCGTCGCACCATCATGCGCTATGTCTGCCTCTCTCTGACTATGGTCTTTACCATGATATCGCCGGGCATTAAGCGCCGGTTTCCCACCTATGACTACTTCATAACCACCGGCTTGCTCAACACTAACGAGGCGCTGATTATCACGAAAATGGACGAAAAGTTTCCGAAGCACTCCAAATACTGGATGCCCCTCATGTGGGCCTCCAGCGTTATGACGCGCGCACGCAAAGAGGGACGCATCTGGGATGACTTTTCGCTCAAGTCCATGATCGATGAGCTGAACAAGTTCCGTGCCGGCTGCAATATGCTCACCCACTACGATATGATCAGCGTGCCGCTGGTCTACACTCAGGTGGTAACCTTGGCGGTCTACGCGTATTTCTTGGCTGCCATTTTCGGCAATCAGTACATCAAGCAAAATCCTGCCAATGTTGTTAACTATTATTTTCCAGTGCTTAGCACGCTGGAGTTTTTCTTCTTCATGGGCTGGCTAAAGGTCGCCGAGACGCTGATCTGCCCGTTCGGCGACGACGATGATGACTTTGAGCTCAACTGGGTAATCGATCGCAACCTGCAGGTCAGCTATCTGATCGTGGACGAGATGCACAACGACCATCCGACGCTCGTCCGGGATCAGTACTGGGACGAGGTCTTCCCCAATGAGCTGCCCTATGCTGATGAGTCGCAGCGTCCGAATCCGCCCGAAGCATCCACTGCCAAGCTGGACCTCTCCAAAATCACTTCTTCACAGTTGCGGAAGCGCACAGAGAGCGACACGAGCGAGCGCGACTTCACGGAGTTCGAGGTCGAGGACGACTCTATGAAGAACAACGAGCTGCGCATCAAGTTTGCCTCGCTTCGTTTCAACATTCATCGCAGCTCCTCGTCCGTTTCCGTGCTCGACTTTGAAAACACTGACGATCTGGAGGAGCAAGGCGAAGGCGACGAGGAGGGCACTATATATGATGAGTTGATGTCGCCCGGCTCAAGCAAAGATGATTTCGACCGGCTGCGCGAGGAGCGCGAACGCGAACGTCACGCCAGACAACTGCAGCATGCAGCCATGACATTTGACCTGCTTAAGGGCGAAATGAGAGCCCAGTCAGAATCGACAAATCAATCGGAAAACGCCGACCAACCAGCTGATAAAAATCAACAAAACCCCAATGAACAGGAAGTTCAAACCGACAAGAGTTATGTGCACAAAACGAAGGATCGCTAACTATCTTAACGCTAGACATTGAATATTAGCTACATAATAAATTCAATTATAAATTGACACTTATATAGTATTGTTAAATTGTAGTTATATAATATAGACAGAAGTAGTCGGTATTTAGCAGAATGAGCCTTAATCTCCATGAGCAATCGGGGCAAGGCGAGTCGTCCGATTAAGGTCTAACCCTATCAATGTATCGATTCTGATCGATAACATAGAAATGGGAATATAGTATAGAATATATATATTTCCGATTTCATATAGGTGTCCGCACAGAAAAATCGATAGAAGCACGGACAAACATAGCTGAGCATAGGTAGCTGCTGGGTAAGGACCTTTCTGACTGTTCAGGGTCTAGCACAGAGTAGGCCTTCAAAATATTCGCCAGTTTGAAGCTTGTGTAAATATTTGTGCTCAGTTCTGAATTTGACGAGCTTCAGTTATGACTGTTACCTATACAGCGGACGTTAGCTCCACCAGGCTTATAAGCAACTTTTTTCGCCTTTTATTCAGGTAAATATCCATATGCTTCCGTGAGCGCAGTCTAATGTTGTCTTCTGTTGCTTGCAGATGGCGGGGCAGCATCTACAAGCTGATCTGGGTGGACTGGCTTGTCTTCCTAACTGTATATTTGATTCTGGCCGTTATTTATCGGAATTGTATGCAGCAGCAGCAGTTTCGCGCGAGCTTCGAGTCTATTGTGCTGTACTGCAATAGCCAATTGTATCTGATACCGTTGTCCTTTGTGATGGGCTACTTTGTGGCCATTGTGATGGGGCGCTGGTGGAAGCAGTATACGACGATTCCGTGGCCCGACTCGATAGCCACGCTGGTCAGTTGCAGCGTGCATGGCTTTGATGATCGCGCCCGGGCCATGCGTCGCACCATTTTGCGCTACGTCTGCCTGTGCCAGGTGATCGTCTTCACGATGATCTCGCCCAGCGTCAAGAAGCGCTTCCCCACCTACAATCAGATCATCGAGGCGGGCCTGCTGCAGGAAAGCGAGAAGCGGATCATCGAGAACCTGGATCTGGCATTTCCCCACTATCCCAAGCACTGGATGCCGATCGTGTGGGCGGCCAGCATCGTGATGCGTGCTCGCAGGGAGAACAAGATACGCGACGACTATGCCGTGAAGACGATCATCGATGAGCTGAATCGCTTTCGCGGCCTCTGCGGCTTTCTGCTCTACTTCGACTGGGTGAGCGTGCCGCTGGTCTACACTCAGGTGGTCACGCTGGCCACCTACACGTTCTTCATGTGCAGCGCGCTTGGCTCGCAGTGGATAGACAATCCGAACAGTCAGTCGTCCAAAAATTTGGTCGTTAAATACTTTCCGATACTGGCGATGCTGCAGTTTTTCTTCTACATGGGCTGGCTGAAGGTGGCCGAGTCGTTGATGAATCCCTTCGGAGATGATGACGACGATTTCGAGGTAACTAAAACTGAGGGGTTTGCGTAGTTGAGCGCTATATATTGTGGCTCTGTCTGGCAGGTGAACTGGATGATCGATCGCAATTTGACGGTGTCTTATTTGATTGTGGACGAGATGCATCAGGAGCATCCGGAACTGCTCAAGGATCAATACTGGAATGAAGTCTTTCCCAACGAGCTGCCTTATATAGACGAATCGCAGCGCACGGCCCCCCCGAAACATTCCACCGCCAAACTAGTTCCATCAAAGCAAAATCCGGATGTAAGCAAGAATCAATTTGTCTGGTCTCTAATATTTACTACTTGCTATATTTTGAATCCAATCAGATGAACTACTTCCTGCCACAGTCAAGACACAGTTTTTTGTCGCAGAACACGTCTACGCCCCTTGACGCAACGACCTCGCTGCAGAAGCTGCGCGAGATTCTGAAGAACCAAAACGAGTCTGACGATAAGCCCAGCAGCACCAGCCGTAAGTATACTTTATATGTGGTGTATAGTTGCTGGATAACACGCTACGCTACGCAGTGAATCTGGAGGAGTTGATCGAGCAGCGCTATAAGGAGAAATGCGAGCGCATGCGTCATCGTTTCCTCAACATGCGTAAGCCTTCCTCGACAGGGCGCGGCTATGTGGTCACGGTGCTGCGTCCGCCCACGCCGCGCAGCAGCCATAACAGCTTGATTCAGGCGGAAGAGGAAGAAGAGGAGCACGAAAAGGTGGATGAGGAGAATGAAGAGGAGGCGGGGGAGGAGGAACAGACCGTGGAGCGGCCAGACTTCGATACGACCAACAAAAAGCCCGATAAATACAAGTAAAGCGATGCAAATTAAATCGAATCAAAGTACGCATAACTACTTTGACTCTTGCAGTTGCACTAATTGTTATTGATGGGTTAAGACACACACCCACACACACAGTTTGCTGTTGTGTTGCCCTACAAAATAATTTATTAACTCTATTGCTCGCGGCTCTGGCACATGACAAAAATAACACATGAAATGGCTCATTGTTTGCATTAACATATCTGAACATCTGAAAATCTGACACGACGCTTGTTATTATCTTATTTTCTGCAGCAGCTGCTGGGAGTGGAGGTGGCTGTTGGGTAAATAAAAAAAAATAATAAATAATATTAAATAAATTGCAATGACAGTCGCTATTTATGAAACTTTCAAAATTGTATTATTTTTAATGCGCGCTTGTAATGTGGTTGGTTGAATGTGGTGCGCTTCAGTTTGCCATTTAACTCATTTGGCTGTTGACTTTACTGCCGCTGCCATTGCTGCTGTTGTTTTTCATATGTATTTTTTGCATGCGCATATACCCTGTGCCAATCAGTCAATTTTTAATAATTGCACAACGATGTGTACATTGTCAGTTGACCACATAGCAAAACGACAAAGATATTTCCGAGAGTCAAGAGCTGACCTAAAGATGCTCTAGATTTTTAAAGGGAACAAGTATCGAGTGGAATTTGAGGGTACAGGGCCTAGTTATATATATGAATGCACTATCAATAGCAGCTACTTGACGTGCCTCAGCAACAGCTTGCTCTGGCCCTGTTCACATTGAAGCCAATTCGAATCTCGTGTCACATCTTCACTCCGCTCGCGCATATGCCCCACTGGCGTCGCTCGATGAATGGACATAAATATATTTCATATTTGCGCATCGCGTAGTTATGTTTTGTTCGCGTCACGTGGCTGTGCTGATTGATGACATGCTGGGCACTTGGTAACAAGCGATTGAGGACTGCACTTGCCAAAGGATCATGAGCAGGTTGGAGCTGTGGTGCGTTTGTTCTGCTAGTGTCAAACAAAAAAGGGGTTAATTTAATTTCGCGCACGAACGCATTTGTCCATAATTGGCAATTAGCACTGGCCATTGGCATGGCCTGCCGAACACACACACACAGGCGCACAACTTACTGCGCGGTCTGCGTTTGCATTTTGCATTTGGCCAACGACAACAAATATTTGTCTGCCTGTTCGTCCTGCATCCTTGCGCCATGTGTGTGTGTTGCCTTTTTTGTGAGCGATTTTTTAAAAATGGTTCGAATTATTGAGGCGTTGAAACAATAATCATCGCCTCGCATCGCCCCATATCGAATATTTATTGCCTGATTGCAGCTGCTGCCCGACGATGTTAATTGCAGCAGCCATGCAAAATGCGTTTAACATCAAACAAAGCGCATGTGAGAGAGCGAGGCAGGGCAGGGCAGGACGATTCGATTTGAACTCGTTTTTCACACCATTTTGCAAAGTCATTTTGGTAATTTAATGACACCTTTGGGAAGGCCTTTCCAGCTACTCTTAGCCATGAGGGTAGTTGCGCTCGGCAAAGAGCTTTGCAACTAGCAAGGACTCTATTCTAAAGGTTTTTTATGATTTAAAATCGAGATATGGCTGTCAGGGATATTTGCCTGTCAGCTGAGTGACACGTGCCAGCGAAACATCTAAAGCTCCATCAAGGTGAGTTCAAGTTGAAACTAGTCAACGAACTTTGCTTTGGGCTGGCTATCGTGCATCTGAGATAAATCAGTTTACAGCGCATTGCAATAGTCCTTTCGAGGAAATCTAACCCTCGCATTAGTCGCTGGCAACGACACCGCTGGACATTATCGTAAAGATCTTTGACTTTTCAGCTCGGCTAATGCTAATGTCCTTTCGCTCCATCTCCATCTCCATCTCTGTCTCTGTGGCCGTACCTTTTTGGGCAACCGATTTTGTTGTTAGCAGGCTAATTATGTGACAGCCTATTAGCAACTCGATAAATATGTGCCCAGCAGAGAGTCGAGAGTCGAGCGTCAGGCAAATAGACCCATTCCGATGGGGCAGCACAGTTCTTTTAGCTGAGCGAAAAGTTTGCTTTATGGCGCCTACTCTTTGGCCCCTTTTGTTGGCAGGCTAGGAAAGGGTGGCCCGGGACCGGGACCGGGCCCGGGACCTGAGCCCCATTCATTAGATATGCGAACCCTGCTCCCGGGCTGATTATGACAAAGCACTTTTACCCAATTGGGTAAATTAGGTGGAAACTGAAAACTAAATGAAACGGAACTGGGCATACGCCCACTTTGCCCGGTCGCCAGTCGCCAGTCGCCAGTCGCTCTAATTTCAAGAGACAGAAAAAATGCCAAAAAAAAAACAAGAGAAGAAAATACCGTCAGAGCATGCTCTGACGTTTTGTGTTGGTTTTTTTCTCTGTTTTGGCTTTTGCCGTGCAACAGCGCAGCTCGGAACTGGAAACTCGGACCCGTAGCAATTATTCTGCATTAACAAAAGGGTTTAACATTTGGCGTTTTAGCCAGTTTCAACCGAAAGCGACGTCCGGCAACGTTTAACAACAACAAGCCGCACATTATGGGCGCCAGCAGGAGGCGGGCAAAGCTGGGCGGGGGCGTGCCAGTGTGTCCTGAGGGCTTGTATGCCTTGTAATTCATTCGTTACGTTGCGTTTGTGAATGTTTTTTTTTCGCCCCATTTTAGTTGTTGTGCGAACGATAAATTGTTGTAATTAATTTTTATTTAACTGTGAAAATGGAACTTTTTTTATTCTCATTGCCGGCTTGTCGTGCTGTTGTTTTACATTTTCAGAATTGGCTTAAAATGTAAATTATTATTGCGGGCAGAGAGTTGCGTGCATCATGTTTGGGTGGCAAAGCCAAAGCCAATGGCGAAGCCAAAGCCAAAGCCAAAGCCAAAGCCAGAGGCGGATTGTGTGCGGATTTTGGTTCACGGAACGTGTGTTCTGTCTATTAATTAAGCTCCTCTTTAGGCAGCGGCGGGGGTGAGAGGGTGATAATTACAGTTAGCAACTTTTACAGTCAATTGTCACAATTACAGGGCTGCAGCCAAGACGAGCAGGCAGTGGCCCAAATGTAATTGCAATTAGAGCAGAGCGAGCAGAGCTGAGCTGAGCTGAGCTGAGCAGAGCACAACAAAATTGCAGTCACGAGTTCTTCAGTTGCTTATTTTCAGCATTGTCAAGTGTTTTTCGGACTGAATTTGATCAAATACAAACGCTTGGGCCGGGAAAGTTTTGGGTCTTAAATCCTTTAAATTAAAAGAGCTAGATTTGTTTTCCCTTCGACCAAATATCGCTCTGTAATGTGGGCAAACTTTTGTCTAAGTATTACCAATAAAATTGATGGAGAAATAGTCAGAAACTATTTGGTCGTAGATAAAAAACTTTTTGCCCCCGCCCCAAAGCGGAGTGCGGCGTGGCACAACACAAATTCCAGTTCGAGCTGCGTTTACTTATATTAAAATTCCCAAAAAGCTAAGGAGATTGCGGGAGAGAGAGCGAGCGAGAGAGAGGGGAGGGGGAGTGCAAGTGAACTAAAAGTGAAGCTAACTGAAAACTGAGCTGAAAACGATTTTTGAGCAGCCAGAAAAAGGGGTTCAAATTTTAAGTAAGTGTTCGGCTTGGCTTTAGCCAGCAAAAAAGGGATCCACAACTGCTTGGCGCACAACTTTATGGCAAACTCAAGAGTTTCGAAACTGGGGAAGCTCCAAATCGTTGGAATGCCCCAGCAGCAGCAGTGGCAGCAACATAAGCTTACGACACAAAATGAATGAATAAATGAATGAATGGATAGCTGAACGACTGAGAGTTGGCTAAAACACTAAAGTTGACCAACTAGAATGGAATTCATAATTGCCGCTGCAGCTGAGCGTATTTCTATGCATGAGTAGAAGTTGCTAAACATTAAACTCATTTTGAAATTTATATATATATGTATATATATATATCAATATTAGCTGGGCACGCGCTTTAATGAGCCTATTTACTTCAGTCTACGGCAGTTGAAATATTTATCAAATTGTAAAATTTGTTTGCCTCTCTAATCAGCATTTTTGTTAAGAGTTTTCCTTTTTGTGACAAACTTTTGGCCCCCCAAAAAAATTCTAGGCCAATTATTGACACATTTGGCAAAGTTGTCTGCAAGTAGAAGAAGAGCAGCAGAAAAAAAATCGTATAAAAACCAATCAAAGTTTCAAACAGTTTCGAACAGGTGTTTTAGCTGAAGCAAACACCCTGTACTCCATACACTTTCAGTGCTAAGTCAGACGTTGCCCCTCCCCCGTGCTGCAGCTCGTCTGCGCCGCACTTACCTGAGTCCTTGGTCCACCGTTGAAGCGAAAACACGCACAACTTTTTCGCTACTTGTAATTAGCTTTTCTTGTTCGATTCGCTGGCAGCCGGAGCTGGAACCCCACGGTCCTAGCAGCGACAGTTCCTAAAACGCTTAACACGCAGGCCTTGTACGCTCCCTGCCGAGGACAGCCTCGCTTGCCCTTCGTTGCCCATCCACTTGTGGCAACACATTTTTGCGTGCCTCGGCAGCTAGAGAAATTCGTTCTTACGCTCTGAGAGATTTAACTTTTTGATTGAGAAAACATCATTAACGCACGTAAAAGGCCAACTATTTACGGCTGTGTGTGTGTGTGTGTGTGTGGGTGTGCGTGGGTGAGTGTGTAACTGTGTGTGCTGGTGTCTAGGTTAAAAGTTTTTGGTTTTTCTGGTGCTAAAAATCAAATAGGGGAAAGCATTGCCAAGGAGAAGGACGTTGCACCAAAGTTTCTAATCACATTTACCGCAATTACTAACAAGGTTTTTGTTGACTGCGGGCAGATGGGGGCGTGGCCGGGCTGGGCTTGTGATGTGGCGCTTTTGAGGTGTTTTTCTCGCATTTCTTGGATATACGCATCTATTTGCAGTACAAAGCCAAATTAAATAATTTAATTAATTATACAATTTAGACGTTGTTAGGCGAAGCGGCTTTCGCTTTAGCCACAACTAACGCAAAATACCGAGAATATATAATGAGAGTATGGCTGAATCAATTGCTTGAATTATGCAGCACTCTGCACCACCGCAGCACCACAACGCAGACCCGCCCTTAA